CCAAGTCAAGGGTTAAGATCCCCTTACCGGTCATCTTTTAAAAAAAAAAAAAAAAAGAAATCAATAAGCAGGGGGGTGGCTGTGACACCCCAAGCCTGGAGATCTGGAGCCCGGAAGCCCCCATCCTGCCTTCTGCTGAGGGGAGAATTCCTTGGGTGAGCAGAGCTTTTTCTAAGTGGGTGTGGAACCCAATGGTTGCCCCCTGCAGAATCAGAACCTGTGGACATGCCGGGCTCCTCATTGAGGTGCTTGGCCTGAAGATATTTCCAGGCCCTAAGACACCTGTGTGTCAGTGGGCATGGCAGCTGAAGGTCCCTGCCTGAGGCTCAGAGAGGGGGGTGCAGGAGCTCTGGGGAGAGCGGAGGGAAAGCGAGCCGGCGTCTGCTGCTCCCTGCACTCCTCCACCCTCTTCCCTGCAGCCCATCTGAAGAGGTGCCTTGAAGAGGAGGATGGGGGACTGGGATCAGGAGGGAAGGTAGTTGGGAAGGAAGCTGTGGGCAGCACAATTCAGGCCCCTGTGGACACAACTCAGGGAGGACTCAGCTGTTTTTCCTGTGCCGTGTGTGGTAACTGTGCATGGGAAATGCTACCAGGCACGGAACCACGATCCCAGAGAGGGACAACAGTCTCCTCTCCGGCTCAGCTGGAAGCTGTCATTCTGAATTTCTGGGGCTGCATCTGAGCTGTCAAGTGCAACATCTGAAATTAAATTCCTTCCCAAGGAAAGGAAAGGAATAAAGGACTGTTGCAGGTTTAATAAATGGCTGCTAGGTTTGTTTAGGGAGAGTTTTACCATTTAGCTGGCCAGCTATGAGGTTTCACAGCTGTACCAGACGCTGGCAGGAGTGGGTCTTCTTGAAAATGTTTTGGTATGAAAAAGGAAGCACTGTAAACCACATCCTCAAGAACGACCAGTGCCAACACTCCTGTTTACTGACTCTCAGAGGCCTGCCCCATCTGCATAACTGAGATGGTTTTAAAACGTCAGTGGTATCTGAATTCATTAGCTTAGCAACACGCTCTGGTTTAATTCCTTGAGGAGGACAAAAGACAGATTTAGTTATTGTGGGTACAAGCAAAATTCAAAGATACCACATGCTGTTTAAGGCCCAGAAATCTCATCAGCAAGTCCACAAGTGCAGGCTTTGGGTCCCAAGCTAGTTCAGGTTCAGAAGAGAAAGTGTTTACAAAAACAACTAAAATCATATGTGATTCAAAAAAATAACACCCTCATTATAAGTCTCTCAACACCTTGGATTTATTTATGTTTGGAGAGGCAGTGTGGAGTCTCCAAATGAGAAAGCCCTGTTCATATCCCACCCTTGACGCTCACTACCTAGAGTCTGACCTGGATTAAGTTTCTTAATCCTTGGGATGTGCTGTGAGGAGTATAGATGGTGTCTGGCATAAGTGAGTACTAAAATCATATAGCTATTACTCAAATATCTTGTGACCGTATCTATTGTCTTTGATGACATCATCTTATTATTTGTAGATAATAAAAGCAGCAGTATCTACACAGGCAGCTGGAAGCACACATGTAGAGGATTCTTAAAGCAAATGTACTTCACAGGGCCTGGTTTTACAAAGCCTTGCAGTTTCAAATATTGACCTTGCAGAGGACTGGAAATTTTCCTCAGGCTACAAAGTCTCTGGTGTAAGAAAAAGAATTCCAACACAGCAAGGTTGCTGGCTCAAAGACAGACCAGTTACTAATTGATGTGTAAAGATACTGGAAAATTGCTGGAGGGAGAAGGAATGTTTGCTAAGGTCAAGCCTTTGTTGGTGCATCACTTAATTGTCTAATGGAATGTCATCTGACTTGTTTCACTGAAAGTTACCGGCCTATATTGTTAAACTATAACCACACCTATGTTCTCTTTCTGTAACTTCCTGGTCTGGAAAATAAATGCAGAAAGAGAACCCAATTTGGGGTTAATTTCCCAAGAAAGGGATGCCTCTCGCTTGAGGGTTCTAGGGAAGTTAACCTCTTTAGGGCTTCTCACTGCTCAGAAGAAATGGGCTTTGAGTAATCCTTTGCAGCTCCATCACCCAGGGGAAGTGGGGTGACAAATCCGTGTGGGGCAAAGCAACACACACAAATTTGGGGATTAGACTAATGCTAATTTGTCCATTTCAAGCCTCCTGCATCAAATAAAATGGAGTTTCTACATAGCAGAAGTGCTGAGCAATTTACGATTTGAGCATGCTGTTTAAATGAGTAATTCCTCAGAAAAACCATCCTTCGTGGTAGTGAAGGTGGTGGGCTTCAAACCAGGAGGCATACAGTAGGGGCTGCTCCATTGGCATTGTTAGAGGCACAAAGCTGAAAATAGAGGGAGTGGGTTTGTGTCCAAACCTGCAGAGGCAAGAGGTCAAACGTGGGTGAATTCCAGTAGTCAGCCCACAGGAGAGGCCCACAAGAAGGAAGCTCTTCATGGTTAACTATGGGAAGACTTCTGGGACTTAAAAGGTCCAGGAGAACCACTGGGTATAATCACTAATACCCTACTAGGAGATGATGGAATAGTTGGGACTCCAGTGAATTAATCAAGTCGCACAGCAGTGACCAAGCATGCGAAAGAAACCTAATAGTTGGATTGAGGGTTCTTATACTTTCTATAATGGGCCAGAATCATTAGACTTGAGAAAAACAATACTGGGCACAGGAAGAAGTGTCCTGGGTTGCTGGAATGTCCCGAAGCTGGGATCTGATTTTGTAGGCTAGGGTGAATTTTTTTTTAAATTGGGGTGAAATACACATAACATA